CACCGTTGGAGCATTGTGGACAACCAGAGTTATTGAACACTTCGTGAGGTAGCTGCAAATTCGTGTGTTCATAGATGTTGCCGAGGGGGTGTACAAGCTGTAACTCTGTTGAGTGAACCAAATTCACTACACATTACGTTTGTTCTGATGCAATCAATAAGTAGAAATAGTTCGTCACAAGTGGTTAAATGTTTTACAGGCGTGGATTTGGAAAAAGGAGAACATTTATGAGCATGAAGGAACGTCGTTGTCTCTCATATTAGTTCATCACGCATAGTTTAGGCTTCATGTTTATCGGCTTGCATAGATACCGGCTTGGTGTTCATTATAAGTGGTAAAGACAAGAGGCAGCAACGGTTATAATAATAGCGGACTATCCTTCACCATTGAATTAGGTTATTGTGCATAGATGAGGCCTCACGCAGCATCACACACAGACGTGGGCATAGCAGTTACGTAAGTAGCCAAGTTAGACGACAGCGCACGCAGCTATCTCGATAAAAATCCCTTGGCTGGCCTTATTTTTGTCCGTCATAGCAGGGCAGGATAACTTATTCTAACCAGAGAGTGCGATTATTTCCAATGCAAGACAGTGTTGTGTTGTTAGATAGCCATTGGCTGATTAATTGTGCATACATTATCGTCCAGTGAGGTGCAACCTGTTGCCAATACTGCACAATGCACCGAATTCTTTTTCAGCTGAACGGGTGGCCAGCTCTCCAAAAAAGTGTCATGTTGAGGTTCAGTGAGCAAACTGATCTCGTTTGTTATGTATGAATTTTGTGAATGCGAAAGTCAATCCACCATTTTTCTGGGCGGAATCGCAACGGCTATTCCTTGGTTGTTATCTCACTTGTGAAAACACCACAGAATGCTAGAGTATGCTGAAGCGTGATTTCATGCCTTATCTCGTGAACTATTTATGAGATGCGAATTGGTAGCCGTTTGTGACCTTGAAATTTCGTTCATTTAACCAAAATACACTGAAACGCGCAGACGTATTGAACTAGATCCACGCAAAGATCGGAGCTTCCGAAGACCCATAATTTCGACTAAAATAAGTTGGGTTTACTTCCAGTGTGTCACTTGAAACCTGACTGCGTCGGCTAAAACTTGTTTATGGCAAGGCTTAATGTACGTATCTATCTCACTCCATTACGGGTATCCTCGATGGACCACCACAAACCCCAAACATGAAGTATTGGTCCACTTGTTCATTCTTCTAAGCTCCTGTAAGCTATTTTTGAACCCTACCTGACGCGTTCTATCGTTTTAGTTTCAAAATTTTGCACGTCTTTACCACCGTCTAATCTCCTCTCTTGCGTCACCCAACCTGGGTGAATGTGATTTGTGCGCCGTGTGGCTGTAACAATACCAAATTTTATACCCACTCACCTCAACATTTGCAAGTGGCGTCACTACATTTTTATGCGCTTCAGTTACTACTAACTTCCTCACTACGCACGGCCAGCTTCATGAGAAAATGTCCCAATTCGGTGCTTAAAATGCACAAATGTTGCGGGCTGTTTTGCAGCCAGAATACTTCGTGGAACTTGCTACTCTCCACAGTAAACTCCCTGACATACAATATGTCCTATAATCCGTAGTAATCGTATTCTTTCTAGATCTGTACTCGGTCTGTTCTACTAAAGATGCACAAGGTATATTAACGTCTAAAACGTATTTGGCATTCGGTTAATGCTGGGTCATGATTGGCTGTTGGGTCCAGGCTTTCGACCAATCAGATCTCGGCTTGATACCGGACGGACAAGCGTCCCAATCTTGCGTGGGATAGGCCTCTCGGCGGTAGCAACACTTGACCGTGAGCGGTAAAGCGGGATCCGGGTGGAATTTCGCCAATGGGAATCATTCTTGTATCCAATTATTTCCCGGCATCCTCTGCTAGTGTAGATGCATGGTAAGGCCTGTTTCCTCACACCTCGAGAAATGCTATCACGAGTAAGCTTCGTGTTTCAAATACTCACCAAATTCTGGTAACCCAAATGAGATCTGCAGAGCACGGGTCTTTTGCAGTAAAATTGCACTTGCAGCATTCCACTGGATGTATACAAGACGTATACGTTGCCGTGAATTTTATGTGACCTACGCCCGTACTGGGAGTTTTCTGGGGAGCCGCTTAATATAGTCTTGAAAGCATTCAGGTCACGCTAGGTAGCCGCAGAAGTTTCCTTCACGAATAACAAAAAATAAAGTATCTTCCGTGATTGGCTCCTGGGCGCTGCTACCTTGAGGCTAGGGATGCACATTAAGAGCCCAAGGACGACATATCAACAGAAAACCTACAACCGCCAGGTGAATTTGCTGAACGAGACTATCGTTGCTTGCACAATACTACAAGGAGGACCTAGTTAATTTGCATGACTGACGTAGGGTTGTGGGCCGCCGATGCTTAGTGAGATGTGACTCACCTCAGTCATAGCGCACATTCAAACGAACCTAGCTCGCTCAAAGGATCAATACACGCCCCATCCGTGTCAACTAGGAAAGGTTAATGACCCAACTTGGACAAGATGACAAGTTGAATTAAATTTGAGTTTAGGTGATTGCACATGTCCTAGTAGGGATGCACGGCTTCCTTGGTGCGTGATGTTCAATGAGGTATTGATATTCTGAACTGACTAGATTTTAGTTCGTTTATGGGAATACGACCATGAATTGGGTGATAGATGACCAAGTGGTTGCATTATTTACCGAGTAAGGTGAGCGCTTCAGCGGCGACAGCTCCGTATTCATGTGTATTTACTGGTAACCTCTCAACAAGATCAGGGAGTGTTTCTCTTTCAGAGGCTTTACAGTATGAACATTTCACTGATTGCATTTGCCACTTTTTTTCTGTGGAATTAACAAAGTTTGCTCCAGAGGAGAATGTAGGTATCGCAGGTAGCACAGATGGCTGTTGGTTTGTTCGCTGAGCTGGACAATTGGATTGCAAACGTTTCATCACCAATCGAGGTGACATCACCAGTGCGTTGTTGGGGGCGTGGTTGAGCGTAGCGACGGGTTGGTGGTTGTGCGTTGAGCAGTGTGGCGTGTGTGTTTTAAAATAGATACTGCTAGCCGCCTTTGACCTCCAATCACGATTGGTTGTTCGGTCAGTCGGTTCCACTGAAACCGACGGTCAACCATGGCTAGCAGTTTGTATACTAACCTACACATACAATTCTCAACCACGAACCCATAGCTGCGCTCCACCAATGAACAAAACAAAGGTCACTTCAAACGCAAAGTAAAACGAACTCAGCCGAAACCGCAGTAGTTCGGGACTAAAATCATGAAGCCTGGCTTTCATCCCTGTGTAACGGTGGATACTACTGATGCACATGGCCAGTAGCCTGTAACTGTTCAGTTGGTTCTTCCAATAAATAACCCCGCGACGAAGGGTTTCTTTCGTTCACCGGTAGCTTTGTAGATCTCCCTTCCGGGACCAATTGAGCACAGCATTTCCTCAGTCTTGACTGTCATTCGTTTATGATAATTTTGGCTTACACACTTCAAACTTTAAACTGGTCACGACTCCCAGCCGTCAGTTTTAACCACTCACCAGAAAATCGAACATAATGAAAATTTTTTGGTCGCTAAAAGCCATGATACTTGGCGAAGGAAATACTCAAAATTCACAATTTCATCGAAGCAGTTTGTGGGAAATAAATTTACATAGGAGAGGGAAGAAAGCGCGGTCTACACTCGTTTTGTAAGAAGACACTCCATCGAAATGGTTGCAGTCAAATAGATCAGATATTGGGGCTGGCTGATGGAAAGCGATTCCGCGTTTTTCCTTTGAGCATCACAGCGTCCACCACCGTTGACAAATGCGAAGTGGAGGTAATTTCTGCGAAGCGCTTGGACCCACTGTCGTACCTGGAGCGAAATTATAGAAAGTTTAAATTAAAAGTGGTGCCGTATCACACTTGAACACAAGTCACATATGGTGATCTAGCTTGACTCCAGGGAAGGTCGAGGGCAGAGCCATTTTAACAGACCGAAAAACTAAACACTACTACATAAGATGATAACCTGAGTAGACACTGTTGAGATTTCCCAGTGATCCTATGAGTGGCGCGCTCCGTCAAGAAAAAAGGCTGCAGTATTTTGATGAACGTATAACTTGGAACATAAGGCGGCATTTTGAAGCACATTGACGGAAAGAGATCGAGGGGTTAAATGTTCATGGACTGCCGGCGTATTAGGGCGCCAAAGCATAAAGAACCAAACTTTTAGAAAAAGACCATCGATCGTCAGAACCTGGACATTTACTAGGTCGTCGGATCGATTATGTGTCGGACATACTAATCACATCGCTCAAGTGAGAACACGTTCACCCGTTCAGGCGTGAGAATTCAGATGCGTCCAACGTGCGCCGGTGGAATAGTGGTAACACGTTTGCCCCGCATATCAGGTGTCCGGAGCTCAAACCCCGGCACGGCCATTGGATATGCACTGCTGATGAGCTCAAACAAGAGCGAAACTCGAGTCCAGTGTCCCCCCTTCCCTTTGGTGTGGATTTACATGAATAATTGTGCCAGGACAGGAAGACGACTGTTCAAAACGAGAGTGATATGAAACTGAAGAAAAAAGAAAAAACGATTCGACTGACACACATCTGATTGGAATAGTTCTACTCACTTGTAAAACCTTTCCACCAAACTGGTTTCGATTCGTTTTGGACCAAGGCCACTGATTCGCACTCCTACTTCGTCCGCGGCGGAGAAGCTATACAGTCCACCGTATTGGCAGTGACTTCGCAGTAGAATGATAAAGTGTTTGCCGTCCGAACAGCCGAGAGCCTGTGCGTTAGAAAGAGGCGGTGGATGACACAGTTCAGGGAAGGATCGACAGACCAAATAGGTCAGCTGACACGACACAACAAAAGGCATTTTCCAATAAGCACGCATTTGCAAGTCCATTTGATATTGGCGGCAGGCTCAGCCTAATCTGTCGTTTATAGTATTCTCTAATGAAAAGTGATGCAAAAAGGCATCTTACGTTTGAAGATCAACGGAAAGGTCGATGGAAACCCTGGAAGAGCCGCCCTCCTCTGGACTCGTGGGCAGGTCCAGTTTCTCGATCCGCATCAACCCTGTGCATTGAAGTGTCGTCTGCGAGTTAAGCAATTATTAGCGCAAACCGCCATTCCTGTCAACACCATATTGATTTGCAAGCGTATATTTATGGCAACAAACTTTGGGAGCAAATAGGAAATAACCTTGTCCAGACGTCGAGCAGCGGTTTCTGGAAACTGCCCGGCATCCCACGACCTCGGGCTCACCAGGTAAGAACAGTCTTCAAGCTTCACAAAAACTTATGTTCTACCTAAACCCAAATTTGACCTAATTCGCCGTCAAGATCAAATTGGCATGCGAATTAGAAAATTTGAAAAAAATAATATTGTTGGAGAATCGGGCTTGGGACATACCTAATGAACCACAAGAAGAAGGAAACAGGTACACAGCTATTTACAGACGCATAGGCTTCGTGAGTCACAGCAAGTTTGAAAAGCGCATGCTTTTGGGTGAAATTCAGATCTTTTGCTAATAAGAGCTTCTAAAATTTTGCATTTTACACGAGGTAATATTTTACTGTTCTCCAGTTAGTAGTACTTCCTTCCGGGGTTGTAACGTCCTGAAAGAATATATTTCGGACCCCCTGGCTGAACTAACATCCACAATGTTGTGGACCACAGTCTCCTTAATGCCTTCTTATTACCGTGAACCCTGGTCTGGATAGCCGATTGATAGCCTGGTGCACTTGGCCAAACCAGAAAAAGTCAACGATCGTGCTAACCGGCTGATCTATTGATCACTGTCGCGTACAAGCGGGTGAAAAAAGTGACACTAAGAATACAACTCATCTGTCAAGGACGAGTGAAGAACAACCAATGAAATTTGTCTCAACGAAAACGGTTATTCTATTGGCTGTTATATAGTCCCGTCAGGTTCGGAGCTAGCTCTCCTACTACTCCAGAAGCAGCCGTTGAGAACACAAGGACGGAAATGAAATTCCATCGGCCTTG